TTCACTCCTCACATCTGCATTGGAGTCTTCCTTCTCTTCACTCCTCACATCTGCATTGGAGTCGTCCTTCTCTTCACTCCTCACATCTGCATTGGAGTCGTCCTTCTCTTCACTCCTCACATCTGCATTGGAGTCTTCCTTAACATCACGTGCTTCCAATTTGTAGGCCATCTCAAGTTTAGTGAAAAAGAGCTTCCATGATACCAAAGCTTCATCATTTAAGAAGCATATTAAAAAACAACAAAAACAAGCCAATTCCCCTGAAATCAAGTTGATTTTTGACTCACAGTGACCTGACAGGACAGACTAGAACTTTCCCCAGGATTTCTACTCCTTAAAAGAGTGAAAAGCCCAGAAACCCACCCGACCAGGCCTAGCCTGTCCTAGAGGGGCCCCAGGAGTCAAAAACAACTTATGCCAATGAGTTCGATTTTAGGTCAACCTTTATGGAAGCAGACTGCCACCTTGTCCTCCCATGGAACAGCTGGTGAGTTTGAACTCTACCGACCTTTTAGTTAGCAGTCAAACACTTAACCATTGGGCCACCAAGGTTCCTGCTAAGTGCATACTCACTTATACTGTGACTGGTCATTGCCGCCGACATCTGGTGATGTTAGCTTCTGTAGTAAAATTCTTATAATACTAATAAAAAAGAGAAAGTTGACCTGCACAAAAAGAGACAACATATTTGGACACAATTTTCTTCTATAGAGAGTTAGGAAATCTCTCTAGGGCCAGGTTGTATGGCAGGGGATTCTGCCGGTGGACCCCAATTCTCTGGTCTTTGTCTTATGGCTAAGAGTCCATCTTCCCTATGCCCCGAGACTGGCCTCAGGTAACTACCCATTTTTTAAAAAGTCCTGCTACTGTCAGTTGGGTCTGGACATCATTGTCTTGTCTGAAGCCACATATTTTATAACCTCAGGTGGCAGCAGCATGAGTAAATTAATTTTGAAATGTGAAAAGGACAAACGGAAACCCAATTTAGACCTACAGTCAGGCAAACTTGGTCAACCCAACCTTGACTACCCCAGAGAACACAGGCATCCTTCTTGGCCCTCTGCTGGCTCCTCCTCCATCAAGAGCTCATTGGTTCCCGAAGGAGGCATCAGGAAATCGAGGGGAATTGAGTTTATATAAGGATTGAGTTAAAACGGTTAGGGCAGCAGTCAAACTCCAGCAAGATTCTTCTCTCAAAAGACCACGTCAAATGGGCTTTTATATGTTTATCTATCTATAGATCTAGCTATCTATTTATCTATCTATATCTAATCTATCTAAAGGCTAAGAGGCTCATTCTCTGCCTAAGTGTACGGCTCAATGACTAATTCACGTTTCAATGCAGAAATTACTTACTATAATGGAAATTACAATGGGTATTCGTATAACCCACCAGGGAATGCTTTTTTCATTTGTATCCCAGCAACTATTGAAAAGAGAAAGAAAATCATGTTACCACTGATTTCATCGAGTAAACCGAGTACACGTAGATAAGTGTGCTGCCCGTGGATTGATCAGTGACACTGAGCCTGCAAAGTAAAACATTCTCTCATCCACCTGCAGAAGCCATGGCATTGGGCTCTGCTACGGTATGCTTTCTGACCTGTTTACTGACTCCGCGATACAGCGCAATTACACTGCGTTTTGAGCGTGACCGCCTGCAGGGTCTACGAGGTTGTAAATCTTCATGGGAGCAGACAGCTTCATCTTTCTATACTTTCCCTACAGCAACACCAGGGCTCCTTACACTGAGCCCTAGCAGTTGATTTTTGTTTAGATTTATTCTTTCCAACACGATGGTCTGCTAATGAAATTAATGAAACCAAAGTAAAAACCGGAAGGCACGGAAAGAAGAGCAACTGACATTTCGTAATCCCTTAATTTGGGTGGAACCCCTAGTCATTCAAATGGCTAATCTGCTCAGCTGCTAGCCAAATGACTGGAAGTTCAAACCCACCCCAAGGAAGACAAGCCTGATGATCTAATCAAAATTCCATCGTTGAAACTCGCACGGAGCACAGTTCTGCTCTGACAACGTTGGTGTGTGTGTGTGTGTGTGTCTCATTGTCCAAGTGAGTTTGATGGCAACTGGTTTTATTTTTGTTAACTTGCATGTCTGGCTAGGTTAAGGTCCATGCTGGTTCCTGCTGCCATCACACACAAAAGGATGTTTTTTGTTTTCCATGAAAATAGAATGTTTCCTCTCAACTGTGAAGTGATTTGTACCTGGACCTTAAACGAAGGTTTAAGCAACATCCCTAGGATAATCCAGGCAGGTGAAGCTAGGACGGCTGGGTCTAGAACTATGTGTTCAATTTTTATTTCATGTAACGGTTGTCTCCAGGAAGCTGTGGGAGACTGTTCATAAAATGCTCCCATTACTCCCACCCCTTTGCAATGTGATTGATGCACCTCTCCACAAGGGGTGGAGTCTCTCAGTCCTTGAATCTTCAATGGAAGGCCCATTTGGAAACCCACTCAGGCTTCTGGTGAACAAGACCCCTGGCAGGCAAGGGACCAAGGGGACACATGAGCCTTCTCAGCTCTGCTGTCCTAGCCAGCCTTATGTCGTGCACTCTGACGTTGACTGTGGATGCATGAAGCGGGGCTGATTGAGACTAGAGGAACCACTCACTGTATGATTGCATGAGCCCCAACAGCCAGGATGCCCAACCATACACTAACTCAACTATACTATGTTAAGTCATCATCTTTTGGGGGGACCTGCTACTCAGAAGTAGACCTGCACAACTTGACACTGCTTTCTGAGAAGGCGGCCATGACACCAGAGTCATCCTGGCAGCCTAAGTCCCTGGGGCTACTGTCCACACAAAGCAGAAAGACACTGGGTTGTGCTCCAGTGGTATTTTCTTCTTCTTTTAAAAAAATCATTTTACTGGAGGCTCTTAAAGCTCTTATCACAATCCATCCATCCATTCATTGTGTCAAGCACATCTGTACATATATTGTCATCATTCTTCTCAAAACATTTTCTTTCTACTTGAGCCCTTGGTATCAGCTCATTTCCCCCTGTCCCTCTCTCACGGACCTTTGATAATCCATAAGTTACTCTTTTTTTGGTATTTTATTCTTAAGACAAAGATATTCATTATAACAATTCTGAGGTAAGCATGCTCCAGCTGGCCATTTTAACTTAGTCTTCAACAGGCTGACTTCTTGAACCTTTTGCTCCAAGTAAACAACCCATTTTATGGCCTATTTTCTTTAGTGAACACTGTCTCTCCTTCCCCTTTTCTGCCTGGCCTATGACAATCAGACCTCTCTCACGTCCCAGCTTTTACGTGAATCTTGCTCCAAATACTTCACCACCAAACGATTCCCCCTGGATCGGAGTTTCAGTGCCTCTCCTCATTTACTGATTGTTCAAGGGCTGCTAAGGTAACTCTTCTATTGGCTGGAATTGCCTCTTGTCCTTCTATCCAGAGAGTAAGTTATCTTTGTTTTACCAAAGGATTGATTATTGTGCAGCACTTCATAAGTATTGCTCGATCTTATCTGAAAGGGAGTGATACTTACCCCGTGTCTTCTAAAAAGATCCTCGTCACAGTCCATGCCACTATGCAGACAGTGGGGATGCCTGTGAAGAGATGCCCCATTATACACAAGTCCTGCACTCAATCAGAATGGACTGTCTTGAAACCAGTATGCATTTTCCTTAACTCAGTACTGCTGAGGAAAATGGCTTTCTGATTAAAACCTTAAGTGGAAATTCTAGTTTAAAGTCCTCATCAATATATACAAGTTGCATCCAAGTTTGATTAAGTAGCAAAGACAATTAAATATGTGTGTGATAACTGAGAGTTCCACAAGGGCTTGAGAAGCATCATTCTATATAGTAAGCATTTTTATTGAAGACCATAAAGTTCAAATGTTTAGAGAAGAGAGATCGTGGTTACTGACATTGTAGCGACCGGGAGGAATTGTCTGTTGGGTTGACCTCTGCACTGCTAATGTGCAGTGTTCGTCAACATTATCCAGTTAAAAGAGGATCCTATTGATTGGTTTGCTCTCCAGGTTTCCCTAGGAGATGGCATGGCATTCCTTCCCCTCCTCTGCCTCCATCTTCTCCCATCAGCATATGCTGGGCTGGGATGAAGGAAGAGGAATAAACAGTTTTGCTACTTGGTAGAATCTCAGGTCACAGTTTGAGTTGAGGGTCAAAAGTGGCCAGGGATGAGAGTTGAAAGCAGTTTTAAAACAGGTTCCAAGTTAAGAGAAATGTAAAGGGCTGGCTGCAGGAAGAACCTAAGCAGTCCTAGCAAAGCTCTTCCCGAAATGCATTCTCCGAGCACAGCAAAGATTGCATTGGTGGGGACAGGAATGAGCAATCTGAGACGTTTGTGAGTGATGGTAGGAGTGGAGGGCAGGGTGAAGAGGAGAGACATCAGACCAGGGTGTCTGGTCCAGGAGTTTGGAGCACAAACCCAAATGCCCAATGCTCAGTGTCACCGGAGCCACAGGTACACACCAGTCCCAGGGAAAGGGGGCCGAAACATGCCTTTGGTAATCCTTACCCCATCCAATCAGAAGATAGACCAGGAAGTGTATGTTTGAGGAGAAGATAACCACAAGGAGGGTGTGGAGGTACAATCCTTCCACTAAGAGCCAATAAAAGTTTGCCATGATGCAGTACTGGAAGAACACCAAACTCAGCTTGCAGCCAACCTGGAATATTACAAACAACAAGAGAATGTGGTCACATTTGGATAAAAAATAGTTTATGGCAGACAGAGCTGCTCTGGTACATAATGCACTCTCATGTTTGTATAAGGAATCAAGGACAAATCAAGGAGCTGTCACCGGAAGGGAAGTGATTAATACAGTGGTGAGGGCGTTTACTGAAAAAAAAAAAAAGTGTTATGTTAGAGGAGGTCCTTTGTATATACACAACACCCAGAAGACTATTTACAGAGTGCTTTGAACTTACTATAAGATAAACATAGGGAGAGAGAGGCAAATGTAAATAACCATCCCTAAGAATAGTGAACGCATAACTTTTGGAGTGAACTGCTGGAAGGTTTTACTAAACATTGAGATTTTAGCACACTTGCCCAACCTCTTTGTTCCCTTCTCTCTACCTGTCTCTATTAGGGGCACCACGCTTCTGTTAAGGGTGGCAGGAGACTAGGCTGAACAATATGATGAGTGTATTTGACATCACGGAACCCTACCTGTGATGACTGTTGAGGCAGCAAATGTTGTTACCTCTTTACCACAGTTAAAGCAATGATTGAAAACAAAAACTGGTTGACAAAGGATATGGAAACACATGAACAATATATGTGGCGATTAACTTCTGTAACATAGATATTAGAGATAAAAGCAAGGACCACAATGATACAATTTGGAAAAGGGCCACAGGGCTGACCGAGATGCTCACCCTCACCAGCAGTCACCGAAACCAGTTAGGTCTCAGGCAGTCGTATGTGCACCCCAGACAGCACGTCTCAGATCATGGCCAATTAGCCTCGCTATTGCTGATGCAGGCGAGAGTATTCTTGCACAGTTCTGATGTACGTGTCAACTGTCAGACTTTTGGAAAGCAATCTAGTAACATATTTATTACAATTTAAAAATAGATACACCCTTTGATCCAACCATTTCACTCTTGCATTCTACCTGACAGGATATTTTTTTCAATTTATTGCAAAATATAACAGAGCTGTTGCAGATCCCAAAGAAACAACTATCATGGATTAGTTGGATTAATTAGCATGGATCTAACATGCTAATAACTTTATAAAACATATCCATGAAATGCAGCATTCAAGGCCCATGCTTTAGGGCACCTTGGCATTTAATTAAGGTATGCGCATTATTTAGGGAATGGTTAAATAAATGATAGAGAATACGCCAGCAAGTCAATTCTCCCTTAAGGCCACTGGATGTATTACAAAGTGGAACCGTCTCACAGGGCTTCCGGGCTGGAACCCTTACAGTCACAGAGTTCAGTTTGCCAGACTTTTCCTCCCAAGTAGCCAGTAGGTGGGCTTGAATTGTCAACCTATAAGTTAGCAGCCAATGAAACTGCTCACCCTAGTTCCTTTGCTATTATGTGACTGTTGAAAGAAAGAAGGAAATAGAGGTAGGCGAGTTGGTGCTGATGGACTTCTGTGGTGAAGCAATAGAGATACAGAAACAGTACATCTTAGTCAGGTGGAGCTCAGCAGATAAACTGTCTAGACCCTCTACAACAAGCCCCTAGAAACCAAGTGGAAAAAGTGTGATGACAACACTACAACCCAGAGCTTCAAAGGATAGGCTAATGTAGATCAACTACTGATGAGAGGAGAGACCGAGTGAAAAGAGCAAGCAAGGTGGCATATGGAACAGTGAACTGCCAATGGGTCTGGCACAGTGTAGCTATTTCGAATTACTAAAAATAGCTTCCCTTTGGGGCAGGAATTTGATAACTGACTTGATGCCTGCTCACTCACCCTGCACAACCTCCCGATGACCAGAGATGTGACAGCTCCCCACTTACTGCACCCCCTTCAGCATCTGGTCAATCCCTTTCCCTCATATCCACGGCCCTGTGGTGCTGAATTTCTTTGCCCCTGCCCCCTCCGGC